ATTTTAAGCCTTTTTAATTTTGTGAAGGCAAAAAGTGGAAACCAAATAAACACATGTATATGTAAAAAAAAAAAAGAGTAATAAATTCTGATACGTACTACAGTATGGGTGAATCTTGAAAATGTCATATACTAAGTGAAATAAGACAGATACAAAAGGACAAAATGTTGTGTGATTCCATTTATAGTGGGTATCTAGAATAGATACTTCATAAAGATAGAAAGTAGAGTAGAGGTTACCAGTGGATATAATAATTGAATTATTGATAAATGGGTACGGAATTTTTATTTGGAGTGATAAGAAAAATTTGGAAATAGATAATGGTAATGGTTGCACAATATTAATTCTACTGAATTATACATTTAAAAATGATACATTAAATTATACATTTAAAAATTTAAAAAATAAGGAGTTTCATATAATACCTACCTCAAATGGTGACTGTAGTTTTTCTGACTTTCCCTTTTCTGTGAGGACCATCATAGGATTTCATAGATTCAATGTGTATCAGTTAAGTACAATCTTTTTTTTTTTTTTTTGACATCCGGACTATCTCATCTTTGAGCAATGGGATCCTGTTAAACTGGCTCCTGAGTTCTTTTAAGAGAACTTTGTTAATCATTGAAAGATTCCTTGCTTCCCAGCACAGCAAAGTATCCCAAACTCATCTTTACCCTCCTTGCCCAAGATCTAGACTTAGCCATTTGTCCAAGGAGCTCTAATTCCTTTTGGTGAAGACAAACTGAAAATGAAAAAGAGGTCATTTTAAATTTTAAACTTAATTTAATTGTGTAAGTTTTAAACTTCAAATCTTAAAGTTTAATGATAGTATTTGAGGTCAGTTTATAGCACACAGTGAGAAATAGATTTGAGAAATGTTGTATGTGGGTGCTGAGACAAAGAAAAGATTCTTTGAATGTACAAAACAGGGTAGAGGGCAGATTTGGAAGAGGATATTAGGCAGGCCCCTGAGCAGCAGAACACAGTGCCACCTGAAATAAACACCACATAAGAAACAGAGGTGGATGGACCTGGGATAGATCATTTCGACGCCTGCCACAAGACTACCATCTAAGGCTGCAGGAGCATAGTGTTTTTATTACTATTCCTATTTAGAATAGGTCCTAAAATAATGGGGAGAATAGGAGCTACACGCAAAATGGGACACATAAAACAGTAGCTGGATGTTGTGACCAGACAGATCACCTGCCTCAGCAGTTACTGTATTTGTGCATAAGCCATATAATACCTTTAGTTCTTCTGTTTTCCTTTTTGCTGATAGTCACAGCTCTAAACTTACAGTCACAAACAGGAACATAGCTACTGACATAATACCACTGTCAAAGTTAAGCACAGATCGAAGGTCAATTGAAGGATGCGCTGTGGGTAAAGGAATATTTTCCTAAACGGAGCAGGCTCCATATGTTTGTTCAGGCAAAATGATTCCTACAGCTGCTTGGAAAGAAAGATGTTTCTTTTCTTAAATTCCTGGACTTTCCTAAGCTATTGTCTTCAGAGAAGAGTATTTGCTTATCTGGGTAGAAAATGAACCATTTAAATCTTCACTGGGAGACATCCTCCCTGAGAAGCTTCTCTCTGCTAGAATAATTTAAGTGGAATATTCAGTGTGTGAAGTGAGTGATGGCTGGAGAGATGTCCTCAGTTAAGATTCAAAGGAGGACTCTGCAAGGAAGATACAGTGTGTCCCTTTTGAGAAAGATGGGAAAAGGATTTTTCCTACATTGATAACAGATCTGTCCTGTTGTCTCCTGCCCTGGATTTAAAATCTAGATTATCAAAATCATGGCTACTCCCAAATTTTGTTATTGATTGAGTCCTGTTGTTATTGATTGAGTCCTGTTGTCTCCTGCCCTGGATTTAAAATCTAGATTATCAAAATAATGGCTACTCCCAAATTTTGTTATTGATTGAGTCCTGTTGTTATTGATTGAGTCCTGTTGTCTCCTGCCCTGGATTTAAAATCTAGATTATCAAAATAATGGCTACTCCCAAATTTTGTTATTGATTGAGTAAAATGGAGTTTCATTTTATATGGACCATTCTTAGACATACTTCCTTTATCCTAGGGCTTCCAGTTTCTGAATAGTTTGGGGGCATGCCCTTGCAAGGAGCCAAGGTTTCTAGTTAAATATGTTTGGAGAAAGATGAAAGAGTAACTCAGGGATTCAGAGATCATGATTAGCATTTATTCATTACTTCCCATCTTCCAAACACTTTACAAAACCAAGCCTTTGTGGTGGAGGGCAGGGCAGCTGGGGAGAGATGGAGAAATATCACAGTTGTGTGCATAACTGAAGCCAAAACATACTTCAACCCTGGTAGTCTGACTATTCCCAGCAGAGGCACTTGTGGCCTGACTTGCCCAGCCAACAGCCCTAACTCTACGCTTCTCATGTGTAGACACAACCCAACCCTAGTTACCCTAGATGGGAATCCTTCTGGGAGGGTACAGGGCTCTCCTTATTATCTGCTTGGCTTTACATGGAGGGTCACTGAACCACAGACAGTCTGAGGCTAACCCAGAACCACTCTGTGCTGATAAATTTCCTACTAGGAAACATTCAAGAGTCAGATGGAGAAATCAATCAGATTCAATCTTTAGGTGTTTTTTTTTTTTTCAGACAACTAAGCAAAATGTTAAATAGCAGCAAAAATACATTTCCTACTGCTTCTTGTAAAATAAAAGTTTTAGTAGTAGAAAGAGTACTTCATCATAGGGGAAAGGAAGGCGAACTCCATTTTTAACCCAAGTTAGCAGTATAGCTTAGTTGCTGCAATGATGTTAGGGCTTAATTTACAAGGGTCCCTAAAGCAATTGGGAAGCAAATTCTGGGCCCCTTCAGGGATTTATTTTCCTAAATCCTATACAAGAAACTCTGTGAGAAGCCAACTGTCCTCCCTAACACCACCAGGGACAGTTTAGGGTTAGAGATCCAGGAAAAAAAAGCAAAGGAACAATTTCATTCAGTTATATCCCCTTTGAGATGTGATAGGGAAATTTTATGTTGAGGAAAGACTTAGCACACTCGTCCCTCTCTCATTCTCTCTCCCTTACATGTGCTGGACTCAACCAGAGAATAATACTTTTGGCTTCTGTTGCACTGAGTAATGCCTCAAAATGTCAGGGCAACTCCCTCTACTAGGATGTGCCAGGAGACAAAAACCATGGCAGAGAGGTGGCTGGAAAGGTGAACAAAGACACTGCCCCAGGCTACAACTCCTGAGCCAAAGGGCAAGCACACACACGCTGCAGACAGCCAGCTTTCCCCTCTGGCTCTGCGTCTTGTGAAGAGGAAGCAGACATGGTCTCCATCTCCACCCTCCTCTTGGCCTCTTTGAACATTCATGAAGGTGGTCTCTGCATCAACAAGTTTATTCTTCCACCCCATTCCTGTTGAAAGGGGATATATAAAAATCTGTTACCTGAGGTTAGCTCTTTAAGAAGCTATATATCTGCTGTGGGTACTTCTGACCTTGGGTTCTCAGGGTCATGAGTGTTTTGATACCAGCTGTAACCTTCTGGCTTGGACATAGGCATTGCGGTGGGGGGCAGGGAGTGCCTGTGGAGACAGTGTGCTGGAATATACACCCCCAAACCCCAAAACATGCCCAAGAATAATAAGAGCATTAACCACTGACCCAGACGCTGTTGAAATTCTATCTCCATTTCTTCATCCATCAGAATACATGAACATACCATTCCTGAAGGCTGGGGTAGGGGAGGCTCCAGTGAGAGGGCGAGGGAGCAGAACAGGAGGGAAAGAAGGGCTGGTTTGGGAAATGAGCCCAGCAACTTCTACACTCTTCAATCTTAGGAAAATGTTCTTTGGTGACAACTAAATAGAGATGTTTTTTACTAGCTAGGAAAAACAATGGGCTTGCACTTTTCCCAATACAGGCATTAGATTTCAGTAGGCTTTTTGGTTACTTTTCCTTCAGCTATCCCCATCTCTTCATCTTCATTTCATGTGGTTCTTCCCTCCTTCATTCTACTCCAGCTTCTCTGTCCATTCTGTTTAGCCAAGTTCATTCCCACCCTGGGACTTGGGTATTCCCTTTGCTCTTCTCTTTGCTAAAACATCCTTCCTGCAGATCATGGTAGACTGCCTCCTTCTCTTGTTCAGATCTTGCCTCAGATGTTACCTTCTCAGAGAGTTTCTCCCTGGACACCTACCTAATGTTTCCCGCAGTCACCTATCATCTCCTCTCTTTTCTTCCCAGCAGTTACCACTGTCTGATAAGATTTTACTTATCTATGTATTTATAGTTTATTCCCCCGATTGGATGTACATTCCAAAATACTCTTATGTCTGTCTTGTTTTTTGCTGTGTATACTGTATCTAGAATATGGTTGGCATTTGTGATTAGATGGATGGATGGACAGATGAACAGATGGATGGATGGATGGGTGGGTGGATAGATGGATGGATGGACAGAGGGATGATTTATGGGTAGATGTATGGATGAATTGATGGACATATGAACAGACAAATTGATAGATGGATATAATCCATAATTTGCCTCAAGTATTTTATCCAGCTTGGTCAGATCTTTAGATCCATGGTACACACCAAAGAAACCAATTCTGGACACTAGAGCTATAACTAAATCAGGATAATTAATCCATTGAATTTGTGAGAAGGAAAATGTAATTGTGCTCCAATTTTAAAGGACCATCTATTCTCCATCAAAATAGCATTTTAATTTTGATGTGCTTTGATGATTAATAAATAGCCAATAACTCATTAACCCTCAGAAAACTTCCAAGTAGCAGGCTGACAGAAGCTTTCTGATGATTTGTTTTTGAAAGATGGAGAAATTAAACCATGGGGTAGCAAAAGGAGTTGGGAATACCATGCTGGCTTAATTTCAGCTGCTGAAATTGTCCTCGCTCCTGAATGTAATGAATTGTTGTGGGGGGGGACATTTTTTTACCATCTATCTCCTTAACATTTTGTTTGTTTACTTGTTTGTTGTAGAATAACCTCAACGTGGAAAGTGACTCCACATCAGAAACCAGCTTTTCTCTCTCCAAGGAAGCACCAGGAGAGCATCCAGAACACCAGGCTAAGCACCAGCCCTTCCCCAGACAGCGCTTCCAAGAGACTGGGCATCCTTCCCTGCAAAGAGATGGCCCCAGATCCTTTCTCCTGGATCTACCAAACTTTCCAGATCTTTCCAAAGTGGATATCAATGGACAGAATCCAAATATCCAGGTAATTCTTGGCAGCTGGAAGGCAAAAGACAACACAACAGTCCATCTTTTGTTTCCTGATCTGATTCCAGTGGAAACTGCAGTCTTACCTCACTTTTCCTCTTAACCTCTTAATGATTCCTGCTTATGATCATGTGATCTCCACAAGAACAGGGTTACATTTAATCTCCATCATACCCTTGATTGTGAGATTCATTATTTTGTGAACCACACAAGAAAAAATCACCAATTGTTAAAGTAGGACACACCAAGAATTCTAAAATATACCCTGATTTCAGAGACATTGAAATATAAAAAGAAAACAAAATAGTATGCCCTGAATTTGATGTAATGTAGTACTTAATGGAAAAGGCCACTCTGACATGTGAATTGACCAGGCAAACCATAGTGTGATTCCAGAGCCCTCAGGAAGGCACTTTCTCTTATTGCCTCTCTCTGGGTGGCCTTGGACACCAGAAGTTCCTTTAGGAGGTGACAAGCTTCAGTTACTCTAAAACGTAAATGATTGACAAAAACAAATTTATAAGAGGAAGGAATATGAGAATAGAAGCTCCTAGGGGAGAGATGAATACCTTTCTGAAGAGGGGATTGGGTTAAGCCGAGGAAATGGGAATTTAGATACCTGAGATTGAAAATAATAACTCTCAACTACACTGAAATAGCTCAGAATATATTACAAAGCAAATGTGGATCTAATATGACCCTCCTACTATCCTCATGATGGAGACAAAGCACATGTCATTTTTAAAATACTATCCATAATGCAACAGGTCCTCAAGAAATTACTATTTAGTTTACCCAAGGATACGTGGCTAGTAAACAGTATCAGTGGGGCTCAAATCCAGTCTCTCAGGCTCCCACGTATACTTCCCCCACCAATCTGGTTTAGAGCAAACTTCTAGTTTGGATGTTGCTTGTACCTCCCTCCATGTCTTCCCCCAAATTGCTGAGAGGCTCACCCCCCTGGGCAGCCCAACTTCTACCCAACTCCTGTCCTCATGTGCCTGCTTCCATATTTTTAAGCTTTGTTCTCAATTATTTTCATTTGTGAAGGGGAAGCTTTTCCTTAGTCTTTCTTTCTGCACCAAATGTCAGTTAGCTTACATAGCAGAAAGTTCCTAAAAAACAAACAAAAAGGAAAGTTCCTGAACCTGGCCTCAGAGAACTTGCTCCTTAATTACATTCTCATATTCTTATTCATTCTCTCTCTCTCTCTCTCCAGATTAACATTCTCTGTCTGCATGGTACAGTTTTAGATCAAGTTTCTTTGACCAGAGTTGTTTTGTTCATAACAGCGGTGTCAACCACCGCTGAGAACACAACTTAGTTAGAAGACATCAACTAGTTCCTGCTGTATATAAAACACTGCATGAGGTTATGAGAAATTAAGAGATCTAAGACCTATTCCCTCCAGGGAGTAACATAGGTGTGAAAATCCCAGCTAGTACATGAGACAGTGCCAGAGGGGTCATGGAGACAAATGGAGGAAAAGCACAGTGTCCCGAGATGGGCAGACCTCAACTGGTGGGGGGACGTGGGGCAAGGCTCCATGGATGGCACAGAAGTGAAGACACTTGTTGGCAACCTATGTGCAGACATCACTGCATGCCCCCATTAATATTTCCACTGAATCTTGTATTGTTCCGATTAACTAGAAAAACAAGCCTTTGGTTCCAATGTCCCTCTCAAGGAACTAGCCATATGGCTCTCTGATAAAAAGCAATGGGTCCACTTGGGAGAAATACAGATTGGCCAGAACAAAAGACAAGGTCTGGAGCACCGTGGCTCCACAGTGCTATGCATCAGGGCTTCCTTTGTGTGTTTAGAGATTTTTATGGCTCCAGAACCAGATAGCCCTCATCCCAAAGATGCCTAGCCCCTACACAGCCCTCATCCCAAGGGCACCTAGCCCCCAGACAACCCTCATCCCAAGGGCGCCTACCCCCCAGACAGCCCTCATCCCAAGGGCACCTAGCCCCCAGACAACCCTCATCCCAAGGGCGCCTACCCTCCAGACAGCCCTCATCCTAAGGGCACCTTGCCTTCAGACAGTCCTCAAATTAGGCCATGCCCAGCACACTTTTCAGCTTGCTATGGCTCACATTTGATCCAGGGGCACAATGCTGAGGACCAGTCTATTAGTGCAGTAGGTTTCAGAATTACTAATGTGGAGTTCTAAGAAAATGCCTGTCTGCCCAGGGAGTGTTCCTTTGTTGAAGAGTTACTGGGTGCCCGATGCTCAACTCCAGAACCCAGTTTCAAGCAGAACTTCTCAGGATCACCTTTCTGTCTCTCAGATAAATCCATTAGTCTGGAAATGCCCATCCCTTGCCCAGAACCCACTTGGATCTTTAAGATATTGTTAATACTTACCCTAGGACTCTGGGAGGCCACCACAGGTACATTACTTGAGCATAGGAGTTTGAGACCAGCCTGAGCAAAAGCAAGAGCCAATCTCTACTAAAAAATAGAAAAAATAGCCAGGCATTATGGCAGGCAGCTATAGTCCCAGCTACTCGGGAGGCTGAGGCAAAAAGATTATCTGAGCCCAAGAGTTTGAGGTTGCTGTGAGCTATGATGCCACAGCACTCTACTAGGGGCAAGAGAATAAGACTGTCTCAAAGAACTATATATATTATTAATACTTAAATGTTAGAGGAGAACAGTGGTGTTCAGTGGCAGCCACAGAACTGGAAACCCCAGATTCCTTTCCCCAGAAAACAGAAAATTAGAGGGACAGCCACCAAGTGCTGAGCCCTCTCCAGCCCATAGGACAAGACTGCATGAGCTCAGTGGGACAGCCAATGACAACTTTGTTTTCATCACAACTCACTGTATTGTTTGCCACATGGGAAGTGCAGAACACCATGGAGCATTCGGCCCTGCCTTCTGGGGAGAGATGGAGCTGTCAGCACTGCAGTGTGGAGAGAGCAAGCTCAAGTGAGATGAGGATTACACGCAGGTTGAGTTATGAGAGGGCAGCACTAGGCTATTGATGTTCCCAACATGAGGGTCTCTCCGACCAAGCCTCTTGGACCTTTATAAACTGCAAGTTCCCTACAAGCTGTTACAGAGGTTTCACAGAGGGTCTGAACACAAATGGTTGGCCCTCATATCCTGTGAACCCTCGAGCCACCTGCTCATGTAGACTTATAACAGGTGAAAAGTCGTAACAAATGCTTTGTCTTCACTCGTCAGCAACCTTTCCCAGCACAGATACTAAGAAATTTTCCTCCAGATGGTGCTTCTGGAAAAGATGCTTGAAGGGCAGGGTGGGAAGAGGAACAGGGTTACTCCTGTGAGGTCCCCCATTTTTCATGGGTTGCCCTTTGGATGCCATAGGCTCCTCCCCACAGATCCCCATCTTTGTCATTAGCAAGATGGTTTTGAAGCTGATGCAACTCCAACCTAGACACCTTAAAAATTGAAAACCCAGAAGGGCTAAGACAATACTGGCTTTTTACCCACTGCCCAGGCAGATCATTCCACCTGTACTTTATACACCTATTAACTTTCCAAGGGCAGTACAGAGGAGTGGAGCAGCCAAGGGTTTATTAATCTGATGACTTGTTTGTTGGTCCCAAAGAAAAGAAAATTGAGTGGCATTTCTGGCCTTGTGTTTCTAGAAGACCACAGAAGGTTAGTTTGTGTTGGTCACTAAGAAAGTGGTTCAAAGAAAGAATGAAGCATCTGCTACCCCTGGGAGCCCCAGCCTTATGTCTGCATGTGTGTGTGTGCAAGTGCCCACACACAGCACTAGCCACTGCAGCACCACCCACCACTACACTTGAGTAAACCAGTTCCCTGGCGGTCCTTTAAAACACAAGGTGCTTTTTAAAAGGGGGTGAAGGTTTCTGTGTTGGCAGCCCTCACCCCTTCCCTAGAGCACTGCTCTTTTGTTGAAATCCACTGGTTTGACACAGGGCTGATTCAGCCAAGCAGACAGCCCCGCTGGTCACTGCAGGCCCCATTAAAGCATTCCCTCTGCCCTGGGTAGCAGAGTGGAGACAGGTGAAGGGCCCGTCAGTGGGTCAGCTTCCACCACCAGGACCTCTCACCTCTTCTGCCCCTTGCCCTGGCAACCTGCCCTTGCCCCCCACCCAATTATCCAAAGCTGGAGCTGGAGAGCCAGACAAGAATTCAATACCCCTCTCCCTGAGGGCCCAACCCTTCAAGCTCTGACAGCATTTCCCATGCTCCAGGGCAGGGCCCTGTCCCTCTGCAGAAGCTGCCCTCACCTTTCCAAAATGTCATCACTGAGCCTGTGTAAGAGGCCATGTCCTTCTGGGGCCTCTTGACTTTTAGGGTGGGAAAACCTCATAAAGGCCCCAACATCTGCTTCTGTAACCCCCAGAGGTGGGCAGTCTCTGTCCCAAGTGAATCAGACTATTTTAAGACTGTCTTCAGGCTGCAGAAGTGAGGAAGAGAGGGGGCAACAGCGTACCAAATTGAAAGAAATGGTCTCAAAGCCCTGAACTGAATCTTCATGTGAAATGTAAAGCAATACAAGAAGTTGAGATTTACTGGGGGAAACAAAATAATTCAGGAAATAAAGTAAATCCCTCAGGGACAGGTTAGACTTAAACTTTGGTGTCCTTGGCTGGGTTTTCAGTCTGCAGCTGATGGTCAGATAGCAGAGGGGAAAAAAAGAAATCTCTAAAATAAACTTATTGTTAGGCTCACTGCTTCAGTTTATCATGACGGTCACTGTTCACAAGCAAATATGGCTCTTATCTGGATCAATCTAAGATTAGGATTCATTTCAACCAATATACTTATTTCTTTTCTTCCATTGACATGGGCTTACAAATGGTTATGTAAAAGCCTTTTCTCCCTGGCACAGACTTATTTATATAGCCACGGGCCTCTTGAGTGCCACAAGATATAATCAGATGAATTAGCCAGGGCTATAGATGTACGCGCTCCTATTTCTGATTTCTCCTCCACTTTTTCCTCTAAGATGCTTTTGGAATGGGAAGTCTGGATGGGTAAGAACCAAGAAATTTCTAGGCCAAGACATAGACCCACACCCCTCCAGGGGCAAGCCTGCACTGTTCAGATTATCATTGGCCCTGCTGTCACAAGTCAGACGGCCTTCGGCTGGGCATGGTGGCTCTCACCGGTCATCCTAGCACTCTGAGAGTCTGCGGTAGGTACAGTGCTTGAGCTCAGGAGTTCGAGACCAGCCTGAGCAAGAGTGAGACCCCCATCTCTACTAAAAATAGAAAAATTATCCAGGTGTGCTGGTGCATGCCTATAATCCCAACTTACTCAGGAGGCTGAAGCAAGAGGATCGCTTGAGCCCAAGAGTTTGAAGTTGCTATGAGCTATGATGACACCACAGTACTGTACCCAGGGCAACAGAGTAAGACTCTTTCTCAAAGATAAAAAAAAAAAAAAAAGTCGGACTGCCGTGAGTTTGAGATCAGGTACCAACATTTAGTCAACCAGGTTTCATCTCTGTAGCCTATATGGGTCACTAGGCCTCTCTGAACCTCAGTAATGATACTACTATAAGCATGACTGTCTATGAGGATTGAACGAGAGCGTGGACATGAAGCTCTTAGCCTACAGTAAGCTTCCCAGAACTGGTAGATGCTGGTTGGTGATGATATTGGGGATGAAGATGACAGAGGAAATGGTGTATTAAAAATAACTGAGAATCAAAGGCTCTGGTTTTGAGACTGACTCTCCACCTTCCCTGCTGTTTACCTTTGGAACTTGAATTCTCCAAGCCAGTGTCTGTGCCTGAAAATTGGGTCTAAGTTTGTGTAGCACAGATAAAATTTGGGCAAGCATGCTGCAAGTCCCAAAGCATTGACTATAGTTAGCTAGGGTTGCTACAGTTGTTTTTAGAGTGTCAACACATCTAAGAGGGGATGATTTCATATCTTGCTAGTCCATTTCGTGTTCATTCTGTGGCAGTTGTCAAGGAAGGGGAATACAGCACGGTCTGGATCCAAAACCTTTGCTGGAGCTGTGTCCCTGCACTCTCTGTGCTCCTAAGGAAAGAAATCATCTTCCTCTCTGGGAAAAACCAACCCACACCCACCCGGTCCCCTCAGCTCTTGGGGCTCAGAGAACCAACAAGCAAGAAGACCCCCTGGGTTTGAAGACGTGGCCTCTCTATGTTATCACTAGAATAGTGTTAGTTTCTCTATGGAAAGTGCATTTCAGAGCAAAGAGTACAGAGTATACTTTCTAATAAGAGTATCAACTCTCAAGAGAAAGAAAGCTAATCAAGGCACGTTGGATCTTATTCTTATTTTCCTGATTTTGGACAGAATTCTCCAAATTGGCATACATTTTGGACTCTCTTGGGGTTGGGGATATTCTATCAGAAGTTGGACTTGAGGCTTGTGAAAGAGTTTTCTTTCTTTTACCGCCTTGATTTGTGGTGAGGAAAAAGAAGAAGAAACAATATATGGCGACATTTCAATTATGTGTATTAAGGATGAGAGAGGGTGGTAAGATCTTGGAAATACGCTGTGCTCACTCCCACATATAGGGTTTATCATACTGATTATTGTTCAAGATGTCTTTATCAAAGAATGCTTTGACCTAAAAAAAAAAAAATGGAAATAAAATGAGAGCAACAGGAAATATAACACTAATCCCTACCATTTGAAAGTCCTTGACCAGCCTCATTAAGACTCTTTAATTGGATGCCTATGAAACTTCAGGCTCAGGGCTAGATTTCTTCTTTTGATTATGAGTGTGAGGTTTCCACTTTGCTAACTGATGGAAATGATGGGTCTTAAGATTTGTTTATTTTTTGTTTTTTGTTTTGTTTTGTTTTTAATTCAGCTGGAGCAGTGGCTAGCAATTAAAGGGAAAAAAGAAACCTCTAAGTGTGGAGATTTAGTCATTGATATAGTTTTTGGAGTAAATTTGTATTTTGCTACTCATTGCCTGGCCAGGCAACAAATCTATTTTCTTTGGATCTGAGCAGCAATTGGGGAGGGAAAAAAAAAATCATATTGACAGTAATAGCTTGAAACACGAAATTGTTTTTATTCCCAGCTTGGAGAAATTGCAGGGCACATTTTGTTTAAGCAATCCCTTTGACTCCAGTCGGAATACAAATGGAATACCAAAACTACTGGGTACATTCCCCCTTATCTCCTACTCAGAGACTGATTTCATTACCATAATTGCAGGCTTGCCTGGCTCTTGCAGCCTCTTCCCTCCAAGACCCTTAATAGCCTTCCAGACGATTGTTGCAGTTCAGTTGTTCTATCTTCAGGCAGAGAAGATGGGGCTGTAGAGGAGAAAGGTTATGGCACTGCCCTGCCACCTCCCAGTTTGTTCTGCACCACCCAGCTGTCCATTCCTTGACCGTTTGTTCCTCCAAGGTTCTGTGTGGATCCTGGTTACTATTACTCTCCAGCAACCATCCCTTCCAGCAAACAGCAATGACACAAAATGTGTGATGCAGTCTTTTTCTACCTTTTTTTCCTTTTTCTTTCTTTCTTTCTTT